ACGCGGGATGGGAGCAGCTGAACAAGATGATTTGGGCGGGGATCCACGTTCAAAGGTTGAAGATGATCTAGATATTGGCGAGGACCTACTGAAGATTTCCCAGCGACATAATATCGATGACATTAACGAGGATATACGCAGCAGAGGGAGCACTGGTCCTCAGCTTAATGTCTCTGAGGCTGACTCTAGTTTGGGTTCTGATCATCGAGCACCCACAATTCGGTCAGATGCTCGTCACTCAAGTTGGGGTCGCAGAAGCGGAAGCTGGGACATAGCATCCGAGGTTCTTGCCAATGCCAATGTTACTGAAAGCAAAGCCTATGCCCCTTCCAAAGAAACTCGTCAGTGACGAGGTTTATCGTATCAGCCATTCCGAATACAAACTATGATTCTAACAATCAAATTCAGGTGTCGAAAAGACGCTGGAGAAACGGAATTTGTTCACTTCAGGCATTAAAGGTATGCTCTTATATTTTGTGGAAATGCTGCTTCTAATTGTTGGTTGCTGGAAGAAGGTGAATGCCAAAATCTACTCTGCTTTCATTCTCGTCTTTGATGTTGATAATTTGTGTAACATTGTCTGTGAACTGAGTTATTTCCTGTGTGGTTTATTCTTTGTGTAATTAGTCACTACATGAAGCTTGGACTTCAAAAAAAAAGAAAAAACAAGAACAATCAAGTTGTAATGCCTCTTTGAAGTTTGAACTCTGATGTATCAGTTGAATTTAGTCAGATATTTTTCGTATTAAAAGTCGAACGAATCATGGCGGGAGATCTTTCTGTTCGTTTGAGCACCCTTTTCTAGAAAATAGAATCGCAGGAATGCACTCGTGAGTCCATTGAACTGTAAAATTTTCCAATCTTCCTTCTATTAGATTTAGCCCACCTAAAACACGTTCTAGTATTTCTTGATCGTGAATGTTTGAATTTAATCAGATATTTTTCAAATACACGAGCTTGGAGATCTTTCCATTCGTTTGAGCACCCTTTCAAGGAAATATAAAAGAGCAGGAAGGAACTGTTGAATCCAGTTAACTGTAAAATTTTTTGATCTCCCGTCTTTTGGTTTTGACCCACCTAAAATACGTTCTAACATGCCTTGATCGTGAATGCTTGAATAGGGTAAAGCTTCATGTGGACTGAAGTGTGATTAATATAAAAGAAGTACCCATCTTTGCAAAGGTAATGAAAGTTTAGGGACTAAAGTGTGAAGAATCTTAAAAAAATTAGGCAAGGGTCATGGCAATGGTGGACTGCCTCAATTAGAGGGACAGATTGGCAGTGATTTTAAAAAATACCCCAAAATTTAAAAAAAAAAATTATTTTTTTAATCTTTTATCCCTATTTGGACCATCCATTTTAAAACAAAATTAGGTTTAGAAACCCCACAATTTAATTTAATCCTTAGCTGTTCCAAGTTTGGTTTGGGTCACTTCTTAATTTCAAACAAATTATTATTATTATTATTATTTTATTTTTTAAATGAAAACAAAGAATTTATCATAGCCTCTTGTTCTTTGCTTATTATTATTTTTTCTTAAAAAAATAATTTTATTGGCTTTGTAGGTCATAAAACAATAAAACTATACTAGAATTATTGTTTATAAATTTAATATATATATATATATATAATTAAAAAATAAAATAATTATCATACGAGATCTTAATTTTTTTAATATAAAAATAATTATATATATATAATTAAAAAATAAAATAATTAGCAAACGAGATCTTAATCTTTTTATATAAAAAAATAATTTCACAAAGTGAATTTTGTACGGTCGGGTTCATCTTCTTGTCTTATAATTTCTTAATTATAATTATCCACACAAAATATTAAAAATGTTTTATTAATATACTTTTTTTAATCTTATTATCTTTTAGTTTTTTATTCCACAAATAATTTATTTTTTCGATCAATAAAGTAAATATCAAATCATAGATAATAATTATATCTTTTTACAAAGCCAAAATAATTATATAAAAAAAAAACACAAAAAAAAATAATATTTCAAAACAACTCATCGATAGCCCTTTATATTTTTTTTTTTTTTTTTTACGCGTTTATTAATAATATTAATTTCTTTTTCTTTTTTTCTTTTCCTTTTCCATTTTTTCAAATCTAGTTGAAACTTTTAACTAAATTTTGAAAATAAAAATAAAAAATCAATTATTAAGTGTTTGAAACCCATTTTTCAAAGAAGATATTAACTTTATTTTGATTCAAAAAATAAATAAATAAAATCAAAATACTAATAATAGAGAACAAAAAAGGGAATAACTCATCGATTACCAACCAAACTTTAGTACTATAAAGCACAAAAATACAAAGCAGTCACCCAAGTAGTCTTCATTTTTCTTTTTAAAATATGTTTCTATTCAAAATATTTTTTAATTTAAACCCTTCGAATTCGGCATCTAATCATCTTGACATTTTTTCTGTAATATAATTACACCGTCCACTTATCTTAGACCGCTTCTAAGAATGAAAACGATTTCCACAACACTTACATACATTTTAAAAAAATGTTCTACACGTTTAATTATGTGAAATTCTTATAATTAAAAAAATAGAAAATGAAGAAATACTGTATTGGTACCGACATTAATGTCAATTTTTTTTAACCTTTCGGGTCATTCTCATTTAGACTGTTTCAACTAATTCATGTACACTTCGATCACTCGAGTGTTACACTTCAAAAATTTATCTCAATATTGAAGTGACAGCTTCCTTACTAATCTAACAAGATTTGACATCAAAATCTATGGTACTTTTTCATATTTCTTCTTTTGTTGGTTTTTTTCTAAATAAATAAGTAAATAAATATATATATTATTAAAAATTAAATAAAAAAATCATAATTTCACCTCTTTAAAATGTATAATTTTTTCTTTTACGTGTAATTTCATTCTTCAAATAAAATTATACCAACTTGTTATCTCATACCATCCCACACGACACGCACGACGTAAGGTGGTTTAACATATATTAATAAAAAAAATGTAAATTGAAAAAATAATATCTTACCTCTTTCTCTCGTTAATCTGAATGATTTACTAACCGACCCATTCGTATTTTAACTATGTTTTTAGATTTGTTATGTTAAACCTTATCATTAAAATGACGACTATCAAATTCTCCCAAATTCTTTTATTTTTTAAAAATTTAACCGAACCCTATTTTATAATTTGAGTTGGGTAATTTGAATGGGTCGAGTTATCTAATTATAAGAACATTTTTTTGAAAAAATTTGAATCTTTAAAATAAAATAAATAAATAAATAATCAATGAGTTCATGCCAAACTAAACGACAAAATTTAGCATTTTTCTCACTTCTTCGCCAACCTTCTTCCACAAAATCATTTTCAAAACGATAATTAAAAAAAGAAAAAACAATCGTAATGCAAAGGGACTCTTGATTTGTGGGTCCCATTCTAAGATGGTCAACGCTGACTCAATCTGACGTGGAAGCTCTCTATTGGATAAGGAACACAACTGGACAAACATCCGTATCCTCCTTCATGGGTTCTCATCGTACCCTATAAGTCTGCGGTAGGTAACTGACCAAACGGGCAACCGACCTAACATATCATGACGTATGGTTCACACAAAGGGGTATTTATGTAAAACCGATTTTCTTTCGGGATTTCAAATAAATTTAGAGTAAATAATAATTAAAAAAAACCAATAAGTATCGAATTTATTATCTTAGCATTGAAATTTTTTAAAATTAAGATACTTTTTTTTTTTTAAATGTTAATTAATTTTTAATTATTTTTAAAAAAAATATCATTTTTTTTACCGAGTTCAATTTAAACCTCAAACTTTACCGAGTATATTAATTTATACCCTTAATTAAGTTTTAGTTTTAATCTCTATTGTAAAAAATTGGTGAACGTAATTGATTGAAATTGAATAAAAAAAATAATTTGTTTACTTTTTATTTTTTATTTTTTTCAATTTAGGTTATGAGTGATTATTATTTATTCTAGAGGATTTTCCACCTGTCATATTCTAGAAACATGTGCCTCGTATAAACGAATAGAAAAATGACACCTGTACATGTGGGGGACCAAAAACACGTTTCAATTTTGGATGGGCAATCATTCCCATTTGATCGATGTCAATGAAGCATTCAATTGAATCGAATCTAATGAAAATAATTATTTCAATTTCAATAACTGATATTTGAATATTATTTATTTTATTTCAATTTTCTTTACGTGAAATATAGAGAAAAATGTAATTTATTTATGTAGAATATCATAAATTGGAATTTTTACTTCTAGTAAAAAAAAAATATAATAATAATAATTAGTACAAAAATAAGTGTGGAATGCTATTATATGTTTTTTTTCTCATTTTTTAAATTTGACTCGAGAATAAATACTTCTTTAAAGTAATTATATATATATATCGATATTTTATATTATTTTAGCGTATAATTTCCACATATACAATCATTTAATAATATTTTTTTAATGAAATTTCAAATAACAGAACTAAAAATAAAGGGTGAATAAATCTTCTTGTTTACTTAACCAAAAGCAAAATCTTCCCATTTGTTCAAATTGTTTGACTTCAATTTGAAAGGAATGTTTGTCTTGTTTCTTTATTGAAAAATGTGAATTAAGCTTTCATTTTAATTATTAACAAAATCAACAAAATAAGTAAGAAATTACCTATTAAACTTCTATAATATTATCTAAATTACTTATCATATAAATACATTTATTTGATATTTTTTTTCGATTAGTGTTACCATGAAGTTATTTTGTGTTCATATTTTTCGACATTATTTTATTTCAAAATAATTACAGTACTTTTAAATATAATTAAGTATCTATTTATAGTATAGGTTTGAAAATTTGTGTTTGATAAAATAAATATTTCATATAATTAATATTGGATCATATGATAATTGAAAAAAATACATGCAAAACTTTGGATAAATAAATTACAAAAAAAAAAAAAAAAATCATCTAATAACTAAAAAATGGAATGATTTAACTATTGAGCAAAAATAAATCCAAAACCAAAATGCTTTTATTTTACTTCTGAAAAGGGGGGATAATCGTATAATCAACCGGACGACGGAGGAGGGTACTGGCCGCCGGGATCATTCCACGACGTAGCCGGAAAGTAATTGGAGCCACCTTGGTTTTGGTTTTGCGGCGGCTGCCGGAAGAACCCCATTTGCTGCTGTTGCGGCGGCGGAGGGAAAAAAACAGAATTTGAAACAGATGACACTGACGGCGCTGGCGCCGGCACTGGAGAGGACGAGGATGGAAATGGAGTCAACTGCGGATTATAAAACATTTGCTGTACTAAACTCGAAGGTTGGCCAAGGAATTCACCGGAGTTTTGAAGCAAATTGGAGTATTCAATATAATCCCGGTAATTTTGGGTCTGAAACGCCGCTGCCTGCGGCGGAGTAAACAGGGGACCGGCAGATGAAGCGGTGGCCGAAATGTCTTGCGTCGGAGGAATTAATCTGACATGTTCAGGGAAATTGAGTTTTGCTCTGTTTCCTCTGAATCTAAGGGCAGCTTCGTCGTAGGCTCGGGCGGCAGCCTCCGCCGTATCGAAGGTGCCGAGCCAGACCCTTGCTGCCTTATGTGGATCGCGAATCTCCGCCGCCCATTTCCCCCATGGCCGCTGACGTACTCCTCTGTATCTCCGTCTTCTCTCGCCGGTGGCAGCCACCGCCTCGTTGGAGCTCACCGGAAACGCTAAAACGGCGGCGGGATTTGAAGCCACCGTGTTTGGATTTGGAATTGAAATTTCTTCTTTCACTATTGAAAAATAGAAGTAAAAAATTATAAATTTAACACCAATAAATAAATAAATAAAATCTTATTTACTGTTATATTGCTTAATAATTTGACCAATAGTTTTTAAAAATTAAAAAACAACAAAAATATTTGAAAATTTGAGAAAATTAAGAACACGAAACCTTGAACACTTTCTTCTTCACGCATTCGTTTCTGACCAACCCAATAACTCATCGCCGAAGCATAGCTCCGTTCAGAACCCGACGAGTACGCCGACAGAGGAGAAGAAGTCGATGCCGACGCCGACGCCGACGCCGACGACGACGAAGAAGAAGAAGAAACAAATCCCGCCGCAAAACCCTGGCTGCCGCCATAGCTCCACTCGCCAGCTCCCTGTCCTGACATGACGTTAGTTAACGTGGACACAATCGTCGATACCTCGCCGACAGCGGAGTAATAATCGCCGTCATCGTGTTGACTGTAGAATAGTCTATGAGGGTCGTCGCCACCGCTGTCGCCGTCGCCATCTCCGGCGCCGCCACTTGGAAATTGTGCCAAGTCACTTCCAATTCCTCGCGGATTCGCCACTTTCAACGAGCACATGCAAAATCCTTGCTAAAAATCGAAAACCCAACAAAAAAAACAGAGGGTTTTTGTTTTTTTTTTTGAGTTGAATTCGATTTTGTTAAGGAGATGCGAAATTGGGGGATTTTTAAACACGCGCCGCCGAAATTCGAACAGGGAATCTCTGTTCTACCGATTAGTAACAAAAACAACAACAAAAAATGGAGATTTTGGATATGAATTTTATATAGTCGGTCGAGTTCAATCTTTTTTTTTTTAAGAGAACCAGAGAATTTATATTGGAATTGTTCTCTGTTTTGCCGACTGAAAATTGCATATCCCTATTTATTTTTTTCCTTCTTATTTTTAGTAATTGAATTTCAAGCATTTTTGTTTATTTCTTTTAATAAAAAAATTAAAATTATCAGCTTTCTTGAATTTTTAAAAATTTGTATTTATTAATCTCGTGTTAAGTCGAGCTTGTCTAATATCAACCTACCATACAATTCTTCAATGGTGCATTCCTCCCAAAAAAAAAAAAAAATATTAGATTGAAAAGATTAATTTTTAAAAAATTATATTGAAAATAGATACAAGACGATATCTATTAATATGAAACGATGAAGGGTTTGACTAAAATCAATAATATTATATTAGTATAGAGATGTATATAGTTGATCGGCCCTAATGACCCGTTTTAAATAAAATATATTAAAAAATATTTATAATTTTCAAACATATTATAAATTTATCGGAGGCATATTTAAAAATAAAATATTTATTAAATACAAAAATTAAAATAAATGCAAGAATAAAGACAATAATAGCTTTTTGTTTTATTATAATTATAGCCTTTTGTTTATTTGTAAAACTAGAAGGCTCGAGAGGTATAATTGTAATTTGACCTAACTCAATTTTAGCCTAGAAGAAGCTTGTGCAATTAAACTAGCTATAAAATTATCTTAATTAACTTATAATTTTTATATAATAATTAAATTAAAAAGATTATAATAATTACTAAAAGCCAATATTATTATTCATTAATTTTCATCACTTGTTTTAGAAAAATAAAAATAATTAATAATTAATGGGAAGATAAGATTTACAAGTAATCTACATTTAAATACTAATACTAGGTAGACATATGTTTAGATTTATCCACATCAATATTATTATTATTGTTATTAAAATTAGAAAAAAAAAAAAAAAAGAGGGTAAACTGGGGATGGTGGACTTTGACTGAATTATTAAGTCAAATTAAATTAATTCTAATAATCAAGCTTTTTATACTTGTAAGAAACAATTTTTGAAATTTCCAACTTCTTAATAATATAAATATTATACTTTTTTTAATTATAAATTAGTTTTTAATTGTTATTATTAGAATTTTCTAAAGAATAAACGGACAATTTTGACCAAAGTACTTAAAATTTATATTAAATGATTAATAGAATAACTCGATAAAAAACAATATAATATTTTTAAAAAAATTATAACTTTAATTTTGGAAAAAAGGAAAAGACCGAAATTTAAATCTGGATTTGATTTTTGTAAATATTTTGTCGGGGATTCACTTTTTTTAGACACGTGGTCATTGGTTTACAAATCTTAGTTCGGTAGAATATTAATAAAATAGGAATTTAAAGGAAAAAAAAAACATAAATAAAAATAATAATAAAAGGGTGTAGTTTGGCCGTAACTAACTTTTCTCTCACATGTCTCTCTCTAGATTCGGTGATTTTTGTCGTATTAGAAACTTTTTTTATGCAAATTTAATTTTTTTTTTCCATATCTTATAAACACTTTAAAACAATACGTCTAAATTAATATATTAATTACTTAATTTATTAAAATATTTTAATTAAAAAAAATACTATAATTGAATTATTTGTCTTAATAAAATTAAAATATTAAAAATATATTTGATATGTCGTTTTGTTAAAGAATATTTTTTTATTATGAGATTTTGAAGTCAAAATGTATTTGGTCAAACTTTGAAATCGTACGTGGACTAGATGTGGTGAAAGTGGGGTCCACTAAAGAGGCTTCGTTGGCACCGCCCGCCAATCATGAAAGGGATTGTAAACTTTTCAACGGCTTCATCCGCCTAATCCATTTTCGAATTGTTAAATTTATTATCATATAATAATAATAATAATAATAACAAACAAATAAATCAATTAATTTCATATTTATCTACTTTTAATTAATTTAAATTAATTTAATCCATTTCACACATTGAATAAATTCAACGGCTTCCCACCAATTTTTGGACCATCTTATTCAATTAGGAGATGATTAGTCACGTTTAAATTCTTTAATTTTATTTTATAACAACTAAATAAATTATTACACGAGATTAATTATATAATAAAGTTATCTTAAAAGGTAATTTAAATTAGAATTGGAAGGTAGTAAAAAATAAAAATTTACCATTTACCTTTTGATTGGAATGGTGGATGGATGGAATAATTAAAAATAATTAGTTAAGAATTATAGGGAGCAATAGCATAACGTAAATTTAAAGAAAGCTTAATATTTTTGGAAGATTTTGCTGATTTTATAATTATATATTATTATATTTTTTTAAATGTTATAATTAGTACTTTTTGGATTTTTCGAGGCGAGGGAATGGATCTGGTCCGATTTGTCGAAAGTCTCCGGCCGACAACGAGGAAAAGGATGCTTGCATGTCCCTTGCTAACAATGTTTTGCTTTAATTTTTTTTTAAAACTTTTTATTTTATTTAATTATTTGAAATCTTAATAATAGTTCAATTTATTAGTCTCTTTTTTCTTGCATAAAAATTAATGTGATTATTTTACCATTTTTTTTTAAACTAATATTGAATGGTTTAATTTAAAAATTATTGAAACGATAATTGAAAATATTATAAATAAAATGATATTTTAACCGCAGACATTTAAAATTTATATATAAACAATTATTTGATAAAAGGAATTAAAAATATTCCAACTATTTATTTTTACACATTTTATTGCTTTGCTTTCCTTTGATTGTTTAAATTTTGTTAAATTAGTTTTTTTTTTACTGGAAATAAAATTACATTTTTTGTTTGTTTATTTAATTTTGGAATTTTCTAAATATTATTACAAAAACAAGAACTTTATCAATATATATATATATGAACAAAAAATTGAATTTAAATAAAATATCTAAAATTAACTATACAAAAATGGGTTGCAAATAAAATATTAATTTTGTGGGTTCATTTGATTTAGATACTTCGAATTAATTACATAATTTGGTTTTGCAGAATATACAATCTAAATTAATATTGTCACGTTTATTTTATGGACAATAGCCATAAATTATTATATTCATTTTATTTGCTTTCCGTTCTTTTTCGTTTGGCTCATTGGCTGACAACTCTGTCAGCTATATATATATATATATCTATAAATAAATTTTAAATAAATATGATTAAGTATCATTATCATTTCCACTATTTGCCTCGTGTCCCTGATTTGTGCAATAATCTCCTCTTAATAGCAATGATACATTGTTTTTTACCGTAATAATTATTAAAAAATGAAATCAACCTTATTATTTTAATGCTATGTTATCAATATGACTAATGCATATTGACCTTGGCTTACAACAATGGATCTCATAAAATTTAAATTAAAAAGACACTAAACTATTATAATATAATTTATTTATTATCTGTGACAGTATTATATTGTCTATTTTAGACATAAACTCTAATAATCTAATAATGGGATGTGGAATATTGTTTTAAGTAAATGAAGTGGTAATTTGATGCATTTAACAAAATAATTATAAACACTAAATTGAAATAATGTTTTTTAAAAAAATAATGTCTATTTAAAAAATAAAAAATTGTACTTTTGTGCGACCAAATCAATAAAAAGGATGTTGATTGGCACGTGCGGGGGCAAAATAATTAAATTGAAGGAATTTGGTTGGGGGCGTGCCAATCCCNAAGAAGAGAAAAAAAAAAAAAAAAAAAAAAAAAAAAAAGAGTTAATTGAATTAAAAAAAAAATATAATTATGAGTTCCTCATTAATTCTCAATTAAATTATTTAATTTAATAAATATCCACAAATCCTTCGATAAAAAAATTAAAAATTTATTTTGAAATAAATCTCATGCAATGTTTCCACAAATTTTAAGTAAATGGTGTTTTTTTTTTCTTTCAAATAATAATAAAAGTATGGGAAATTAATAATTGTTTAAAACATGCTTAAGGACAAATTTTCAAAAAAAAAAAAAAAAAAGTCAAATAAATAAAATCAATAGAATTTATATGAGTGGCTAAAAATCCATTAAGGGTTAATTATGAAAGGTTAGAATTTATATTTTAATGTTTCGTAGTTTAATCATAAGAACTATTTTTTGGTATATTTTACTGTTTGGTAGTTTAATCATAAGAACTTGATTATAATGTCTGTTTAACTTAAAATAATCTTTTGATTTTTTTTTTAAAAGTGTTCGAGTGAAGATAAATATGTAAAATGGTCATGGGTAAGGGAAAACTGAGATTATCAAGTATTGAAATTTGATTCTAAATTACGAGCATTTATATAAATATATATAAAAATAAAATTTCAAAAGTTTCGTAGTCGTATAATTTCAGAAGATGACGACAAAAAAAAAATATATATATATTGAATAATATTTCAGAATATTATGAAGATTTGACTCACAAATTAAGAGAGAAAATTAAAGGTTAGTGAAAAAGAGAGTGTTTTAAGAAGTGAGAAAAGAATCTTCAAAGTTCTCAAATTTTTAGTGGAATTAATTATTTCCCTTTTCTTTTCTTTTTGTAAATAAATTATTTTTTTTTTATTTTTATTTGGAGGAGAAAAAATCTTTTAGCTCGAGCAACCCGATCCTCTATTCTCAGATTTGATTAAGTTGTGTTGGTAAGTTATTTTTTTTAAATTATTTTTTAAAAAATATTGTTTATATATTATACGTGTTACACCATTAATTAAACTAGTTTAAAATGGTCGAATCTAATTTTATTTTTTTTGTTTTTAAATAAGTGGTTTAAAATCATCTCTTGGCCGTTGACTTGTGAGTTTGGAAATATTTATTTTGAGAGTCGATATAATGGATCATCGCATGCTTTTTTGCTTTGACTTTTGACTATTTTTTCTTAATTACTTTTTCTACCAACCTGATGCAATAATTTGAATTCTGTGGATATGATTTATTTTATTCATTAAATATATAATTTTCAATTTCTTGAAAAAACCTTGAATTTCTAGTGAAAATAACAATAATAATAATAAATATTTGGTTAATTAAATTAAAAAAAAACAATATTTTTCTAAATTATTGATTTTCAAATAAATAAAATAATTAATTAGTAAGTCACCTGAGAGAAAAAAAAAAAATAATAATAATAATCCAAAAAGCTTGACTAGCAACTTCTTAAACTGGTACTTATAATCCAATAAACAAAATAAAGTTCAACGGAAAGACTTTGAAATTTAGTTTTCTTTTTTTCTTTTTTCTAAAAATAAATTAAAATAAAAAAAAATTAGATTAGTTTGATAAGAGAAGAGAATAAAAAAATAGTTATTCAACCTTATTATAAAAATAATAAATAAATAAATAAACCGAACCATTTAATAAACTAAATATTTAGGTTCAAATCTCTATGTGTACGTTAGAATTATTTTGATGGTTGAATATAATTTTTTGGGCTGTAATCTAAATATAATTTACGTAATATTTGTGACAATTTGGAAAAAAAAAAAGCTATACATTAAATAAATAATGTTAGCTAGAATAGCTCAATTGGATAGAGCGTGTGACCCTTAACCATAAGGTCGGAGGTTCAAGTCGTCCTCCTTCTAGCATGTAACTTTCTATTTTATACCATTTTTTTTTAATGAAAATTATTGCCATTGGCGAACTCCTTAATGTATATATTTATATTTTCATTTCTTTGTTGCTTTCAAATCTTCCTTGGAGGAGAGTTTTTATTCAACACCAAAACTAAGGAAGAAAGACGAGAAAAGAAAAAAACTAATGCAGGCTTGTTTCTTCTTTCCCCATTTCCCCTTGATCAGTTCTTAGAGGAAGCACGTCGTCCAGGTTTCGAGCTTCGTTGAGCTGTAGGTGGTAATTTCTCTGATGGGCCACACGGCAGCGGTTTTCCGGTCTCCCGTTCGATCCGACGTTTGAGCTCCCTGAGTACTCGAACTTGGCTCAGCTTCTCAGGAGACAACATTTCCCAGTAAATGCCTGCAATTCAGAACAATTTGGGGTGTTATATGAGACTCTCTTAATTGATATTTGACAAACTTGTTCATAAACTCATGTCCCTCCAATCTCGAGAAATCTTTTGAAATATGAAAAGAAAAGACATCTTTAGTAGGAAAAAATTTGACTTGAAGTTCTACAATTATTGAATATAGATGCAGGCACCTGAAATAACAGGACTTGTATTTCAAGAGGGGAGTTTGGCATGGATAAAGCAAAGCTGCTAACCTTGGGGTTTAGGGATTTTCGTGTTGGTTAAAATGACCTGCGTTGGTGTGCATACGATGTCTACGGGCACGTCGTGGACTAATAGCTTCTCAACTGGAATATCATCAACCAACTGGCAATCATGCACTGCAAGCCATCGGAAGTTCGTATTACGACATGATATTTGATAAACATGTATAACCCAAAAGCACAAAGACTATATAACGGCCCAAGCCCACCGCTAGCAGGTATTGTCCTCTTTGGGTTTTCTCTTTTGGGGTTTCTCTCAAAGGTTTTAAAACGTGTCTACTAGAAAGAAGTTTCTACACTCTTATATAGAATGTTTCGTTTTCGTGTCCAACCGATGTGGGATCTCACAAAGACACTATGAACTTTTAAAATGTCTCAATGACATGTAAGCTATCAATTTGTACCTAAACTTCTGGTTGTTTACCAACAGCTCTCTGCACATGTATTATCTCAACAGCTCGACATATGGTATCTCGACCGATAATTTGAAAACAAGCTCTCTTTTATTGAGGATGGGGAGGTCTGAAAATAATATATATTGGGAAATTAACTGCTAAACTATCTACATGGATAAAATTGCACGATCGAAGTTCACTGTAAAGAATATTTTGATATCAAGCACTGAAATTTATCAACACAACATCATGTTGCTGAAAATAATAAAAAGAATGAGATGCTACAAGATAAGATAGAAGCAGGGTAGTTATACAACCAGAAGTAACAATTGGAGTCGAGTCATCAATGGCGCCCATGTACCGAAGCATTCCATATTCCAGTTCTGCAAATCCCTGCACTTAGTGGAGGTTAAATTATAAGTTTGGTTTATAAACTTTTAGAGTTTGTTTGAATCGAGTAAAGAAACATAGATAGAATCAAGTATACTCGTTCCATTGCATAAGAGGGCTTGTTCGAATTCACTTTCTAAGGGCTTAAAAACACTTTGTTTAAGCACGTTATTTCAAACAGACCCTTAATCAATACATTCCATTTCCAAAGTGGCAAAACCGAGGATTATCAAATCTTCCGAGCAAATATGTTTTAAGCCAACAGTAACACTTTTACCTCACCCTTGCCAAGGCGAGCACCTGTTCTGGGATCAACAGCAACAGAGCCAATGACGATCAGATCGACTTTGATCTTTTCATCAAGTCCAATTGGCTCTCCATACTTTGCTACCCCAACAGAAGTGCAGGCCTCCTTGATGGTAGCAGAAGTCAGCATTCCGGATTCGACTATGGAGAAAAAACCTGTTCTCAACCGAGGCTGAGGTGTCAATAGTTTTTTGCCACCTGATCATAATCAAAATACAATTTAGTTTGTGATTTAACCTGAAAAAATCTGTCATGCTTGTCATGCTTGTCAAGAATCAAAGATGATACATACGATTCAGTGGAAGTTTACATTGTATTGATTCAACGTAACAGCCCAAGCCTACCGCTAGTAGATATTGTCTTCTTTGGGCTTTCCCTTCAAGGGCTTCCCCTTGAGGTTTTAAAACACGTCTACTAGGAAGAGGTTTCTACACCCTTATACGGAATGCTTCATTGTCTTCTACAACCGATGTGGGATCTCACTTTCAACCACCTCAAAATGATAACTAAATTGGACTACGTAGTCCACACATCCAACCACCACGTTTGCCAATAGAAATTCATAATTTCAGATCTTTATTAGTTTTAGTAATAAACTAAACTAAGACATGAACAGTTGACACATTTTGAAGTTTCCCCTCACATCACTTGGGCTTTGTAAGATTCGAATCCAACATCCTTGAGTGAACTCTGTTCTTGATAATCACTACAGGGTTGTGCAGAAAAGCAAAAAATGTATTGTTCACTTGCATTGAAACATAGTCTCTTGACGATATTGTAAATGGCAGACAGTGGTAGATATTTCATTAAAAGTATCAGCAGAACTGACCCATAAGTGTAAGAAGCCTCACACCCTTCTGAGGTGAATCCGGATTAACCTTCACGCACTGCGAATCCCTGAATACTTCCAAATCGCACAACTGATACAACTCCATTTCATCAGGTATATACGGAAGGAATCAAAATTTCCAACACTGAAAAGATCGACTCAAACATTTAATTTACAACAAAACAATTCAGGAATTAAGGAGCTCACTCTGTTAGCAGCTTCCATGGCGCCGACAAAATTAGGGATTCGATGATGAACAGGTCGGGGATTAGCAGCAATGTTTAGAGATTCCATAAAATCCCAGATTCGTTTCCGGATCACCCACTTCCAAGCTTTCGGATCGTCGTCCGAAGCGCCTTCAGTGTCCCTTACAGAAGCTTCGGCCATGGATTTCATAGCTAGGGCGTCGAGGCGAGATCTCTCCGCCTCGAATGCAGCTTCGTCGAAAGCGCCTTCGCGTTGAGTTTTTCTGCCGCCGTTTTTACTGCTCTCCAGCTTGAAATGCCTTTGGAACTGAAAATTTCTTCCGATGGGAATTGAATAAATGGAACTAGTCTTTCGAATCGCATTGAGAAATGTGGATTTGACTGATAGTGGACGAGATAATTGCAGGAAGCTTGAATCCATCAAAGAAAATTTCAGTCGGGATGAACTGATGACTGCGAGTGTTCGCGCCTCGCGGATAGTTCGGCCCCGAAGACGATAAGATAATTCTTCATCCAACGACAATTTGTTTCTAAAAACGGTTTTTTTTCCCTTTTATTATTATTAATATTATTGTGTAGTATAAATTCTAAAAACAATAAACATTTTAATTATAAAAAATAAATAATTATGAGGTAAAAATTATTATTATTATTGGCGAAAACCATTATTAATTATTTCAAAAATACTTTAAAATTTTTAAATTTTTTATTAAAGTTAAATTAAAAAATTAGCATTGTTAAACTTTTAAAAATTAAATATACGTAAAAAAGAAAAAAAAAACTTAATTTTTTTTTAAATTTAATTAACAAACCATATTTAAACCTAAAATGGCGGAAAATTCGGCCGGGTAGCATCGGTTTTATTACCGGGCGATTTCCTTTATGGGCTTGGTGTATAAACTTTCAGTCCACCGCCGAAGATATTTCCCGCCTCTGCGGCAAAGCAATGTTGAAGGCAAAAGGTCTGAGGAAGGCGGTTGTGCCGCCCGCTCTCATCGGCGATCCTTCTCCCGGGAATCTCCAGCCCACTCGTCTCGCCCTCCATGTACGTATTTTATTTTTCTTACTGCTCATTCATCCACCCTAAGCTCTTTGTTCCGTCTCTTTCAATCTATTTTGGCTTCCGTTCTCCTTCTAGGTTAGTCCAGATGGTTCTTCCTGCTATGTCTTCATCGCTTCCGGTTCCCGCGTTTTTAAACTCCAGGTATGCTGCTGTATGCTTTTGAGCGTCTTGATATTGCAAAATGCGAACTAATGCGTCGTGTGGTGCTTTGATGCTTAGATGCTTAGATGTATGTGTTCGTAATAGAGTTGTATCGTAAAACAAGGCCGTTTTGTTGTTGCTAGTAAGTATAGCATTGTGTGGCGGATTGCAATGCGGATGGATTTTGGTGATTCGAACTGATTCTTTGATGCTTTTAGTTTTATGTATTTCTTCTATTTTCAAAGTGCTTTAAATGAGCCATGAAGGAGGTTCTCATAGTCACCTCCAATTCCTTGATGTTTGTTTGCTTGTCTAAAGGAGGTCTGTGTCAGTTAACTCTCAATCAATATGTTCTATCTAGTGCTCATACTTGAATTTTATATTGTTTTGAATCCCAACGAAGACTTCCTAATTCATCGAGAAAAGCTCCATAAGTATTTTGTGGCCTGCTATTACTTTCGAGGATGGCAGTAGTTTTATTGGACGATGAACGTAGTCTTGGAGTTGGCAACTGAAGGAGGAGGAATGTTGCTTTCTCCTCTTAATGGACGTGGTACTTTCATAAAGAAGGAGGATCTCTTTGGCGTGAGATTATAGTTAGAAAGGCATAGCCCTTAAGTTCGGCATTAATGGAAGTGGTTGGTTTACTGCTATAACTCTGATTACTAATTATAGAGTCCTTTACATTCATTTCCATTTGCAAGGAGGATATGAAAGAGGTTTCGATGTGAAATTTGGTAGAGGTTGATTTTGGGGCCTATTCATGGGCTTCTGATCCTCTTTAACAGGACAATTTTGAGATTTTTTTTTTATCCAGCAATTTCTTAAAGGTTTTACTGCCAATCAATGAAGGAACTGCGGGAGCTAATTTGTGAAATTTTCTTCTCTGAATGCCTCTTAATCAATAGGTAAGTTTTAGAATGGGTAGATATGCTATAATTTATTTCGAATTAGCTTGTCCTCATCATTAGGTGACTATTTGATTTGGAATCTGAGCTCTTTGGGGTCCCTCTACAAATCTCTCTTTCTTCAACCCCAAGAGAGAGTCATACCTTATCTATGGAAAGCCATTTAAAAGGTTGGTTTTTGCTAAAAATTGGCGTTGGATTGTCATGTGATGGGAGATGCTGTCATGTTGACTGTTGCCCCTTCTTTATGTGTGTAGTGCTTGAATCTAGGGGTTATTTCTGCATAGTTAGGAAAGACCTGAATAAGGTGACTGTTTGAATGCAGTGGCAACTGGCAACATATATTAATGGTTAATGTACTAAATCTATTTTCTTTTGCGCCTGCCTTTCATTTTCGGTAAAATATTGATTGCAATATATTCCACTCTATTTTCTTTAGATTTCCATGGAAGAATCATCAGTCGTCGAGGGAAAAGATAGCTTACTGATTCCTGTTCAGACAAAGGTATAGTAACATATTATAGTTTTAGTCATGGTATATCAATTGCTTAAGGTTTCCTATTCGGTATATCAATTTGCTTATTGAAGGTTCTAGACTCTTTATTGCTGAATCGCTGTCCTCATCGCTCAGAGATCCAGAGCTTGGTCCTGGCTGAAGTTGATAGTTAAGTCATCTTATTCTTGCTCACACCTGTTGTACATGTATAGAAATTCCGTAGATGAAATATCTATATTTATAGCCACATAAAAAAAAAAAAGAATCAACGACACATCATTTTCTATGAGTTGGACATCAACACACTACACAAACTAAAGTCTCCAAGATTCGTTTATTATTATTATCATAATTATTGATATGGTGCATTAATTCAGGTTCCAATGACCTCTTACTGGGGACAGTTGACTCCTATGGTCACCTCATTGTTTCTAAGTTAGACGCCACTGGCAAAGGTACAATATCTTTACACTGTTTTGTTGTCAGGATACCAATGATTTACAGTCAAGTTCCATCATAGAATATCTGGAGCTTTTTTCTAATATTAGTCGAATAAGCTGCATGATGTTTGTACATGATACAAACACGTGTCATGACTTTCATTGACATGGTGCATATTAAAATTAACATCGTGCTCTTAATTCAATTTTGTTGCAACTAACCTTTACTAATGACAATTAAAAGTGGATTCGTTTCTTTAAGCTTTTTGCAATGCCCACTTTCAACTTGGCTTTTGGTGCGTCATAGCTGTGTGATAGGGTTTCTTACCTCCGTACTTGCTTTTAATTCCCTCAAGAGCATCTACCAAAATAAGTTACAAAATTAACTGCAATAGGAGGTTAGATAGAAAACAACGTTATCTAAAAGCATCCAATCGACAGGGTATTCTTTTTGGTTATTTGGAACGAGCAAAATCAAAGAGTTTTTAAACAAAAACACACATTTGAAGTATTTTTTGATCTTGTCATATATTATGCTATTTCTTGGTGTAAATTGTTGAACATCTTTGCTTCATGTGGTTATGTTTCCCTTTCTTCCAATTGGGAAAGCCTTTTGAAATCACCGTGGATTATTCATCCCTTTTGTTAATTTAATACCTCAATGAAATTGTTTCTTACAACAAGATATTAAAATATAAACTTGATTGTTGTATATTCTTCCTTTTTTTTTTCTTTTTGTAGATGTTCATCTCCCATTCATGGTCTATCGGTCACCTTTACTTCTCTTAAAATTTGCCTTTTTTGCATGCTTGTGATACTGTTAACTGTTCTCGTTGTCTTCTATTTTGTTATATAATCTCTTCAAATGTACACCTAACCTTACAATTTTCTTCAAATTTCAGATGCAGACAGGGTTACGTATTCTGTACTCCCTCAAAATTCAGGTCTTGGTGAGGGCAGTTGGGCAGGATTATGCTTCAGTCCAAGTGAAATGTTCACGGTTTTCTATTTCTTAATTTAAGAGTTTTTAAATGCTTAGAAGTCATTCCTTCTGCCATGTTCAAGATGCTTACTAGTCATCACATATATACGCATACAAACATACATCTTCAGAATAAAAAGTTTCTGCATATTGTGTAACCGTAGGTAAAACTTAATTAGTGATTGCCGATTCCCATCCTTGATTTTTCATTATGTAACTCTCTAAGTTTCAAGTTCTAATACAGACGCACGTACACTTACATCCTGAAACCTGATTTTAGAATTAAAAGGCAGTCGGCAGAGTATAAAAAAAAGAAATATCAGATGCTCTTTTCTACCTTTATTTAATCAGAAGAGTTATCTTTTTTCATATTGATCTAGACCTACAGACTACAGTAACCCACTAGGTACCATCGTGTTTTAAATTTCTTTCAGGCAGCTGTTGCTCACAGCTTTGGCAGAACTGTTGATATTTATGACCAGGATGTCCATGTTCAAACATTACGCACGTAAGTACTGACATTAGTTTCTTTATTCATTCTATTTATTGTGATACCTTTTTGGTGAGGTTCATTATCTTATCAGGTCTATCCGAATTGAAAATGGAGTTTACAAGGAAGGCAACATAACTGCATTCTATTTGGTTCTGTTAGCAGTAGGAACAATAGTTGACTATAAAAGTTAATTAGCTAACAGAAAATATCACCTTAGAGAGCACATAGAGGTATAACATCAAACATTTTGCAATCAATGACAATAGGTTGCCAAATTACCTTGCCCAAGATTGTCATTTTGAGGGCTTCCCTTCAGATTTTCCATATTAATTAACTTCCTAATATACCTCTCTAGTTGCATGGCCACTTTTTTTTTTTGGATCCTTAAACATAGAGGGGGTAATAAATGGAAGTGTTGAACAGTATAGATTGTGTTGAACAAAGTTGATTCGTTTCTTATTAAAAAAGCAGTACAGATGGAGCAGGGATTACACTTCCATCCTTTGGAACGTGCCCTTTCTTTCGCCTATCAAGCTTCTCAGAAATTCTCCCTAATACAGTGCCAGTCTGGAGGATCTAAAAAGGGGCCTTTACATTGTCCATGAAGTTCTCTTTTATTGATGCATGATAGTTTGGATAACAGGGCTTCATGATCCTACTTCTTACCATGATAGAAATTCATTTTGGGCTGAGTTGAGAAGTCTTGTAGTGGGTCTATGAGGACAATGGGTGCTTAGCAAGAGATTCCAATAATCCAATGGGATTAGAACTTGAAGGATTTATGAGAAATTTTCTCAAGGAGAAGAGCTAGAAATATGACAAGATTTAACAAGAACTTGAATGGTTCAATCTTCTTTGCTTTTAACGTTTTTGAATAATTTCAGTTTGAGTGATTAAGGATGTCTTGGAATTATCCTTTTGAGCTCCGTTACAAGGCTGTTGAATTCTGCTTGGATTTCTTTTATGTGCAATATTGTCATGCTAATAAGAAGCTTTTCTCTTGAGAACTCTTTGAGAAATAATGTGTAAGAGGCCAGTTTCTTTATTGTGGTGGCATATTAAGGCGTTTTTAGGGCTTCATTTTTTAAGCTTCTTCATTTTGTCATTAAATGAATTCTTGAACATCTGTTCTTTTTTCCCCCCCTGCTAAAAAGATAAAGATTTTGTGTGTGTGTTTTTTTTAATAAAATAATTGTTTCAGACTCTGGTATCCAACTGCATTGAGCTTTATTCAGAATCTTTCTTCTGAGAATGGAAGTTCTATATTAGCTGTCACCGAAGGTTGTCAGGTAAAAGTGTTTTTGAGACCACGTTTACTACCTAATAGGTCTTTTACTTTATCTTCCATGGTGGCTTTCCTTTTCATCTAATGCAATAACTGCAGTTGACGATATGGGATTTGAGAATGAAAGAAAACGGTGGTTGTGTGCAAAGAATCTGTGGCTCTGTAGGTGATAACTTTTATGCTGTCTGTACATCCTCAAATGGTAATATTGCAGTGGGTGGGGCTGATCGAACTGTAACAATCTATGATCCTCGAAGGTGATTGCTGTTGAACCTTTTTACAAATACAACCTGCATATGTTTCTTTTCTTCCAAGTCGTCTTGATTTTTGTACTGAAATATTTTGAGACTAGAACACGGGTTTATATCTGTTTGAAATTACTTTCATGTATGGAGATTTGCTCAAGGAATTCCGATTCTTGAGATGTACACTTTTGATATAAGTCTTTCATTCATTAACAATTCACACGTTCACAACATTATAATGCCAAATGGTATAACTGTATTGACTGTACATGATTGTCAGTGATCCGTTAATTATACTCTACAAGGATATGTGGTGAGAAAATAGAGTGTTAGCATGCTTTTAATTGCATATTGACCACAACTAAATGATGTAATTCACATTCAAAATTTAGGTGGTCAGCATTAACAAGATGGGTTCACTGCTCGAAGTATGAGGTTAGTGAGACTTTCCACCAATCCCCCGTGAAAATTAGTGTTTCCGATGAGTAGGTTTCTTCTAATTTTTCCACCAATGCCCCCATCTTTCTTATTTGCAGATTACGGGACTGGCTTTCTCATCAATTGACTCCGATTACATTTATGTCCAGGGAGTTGACTATGAGGTAAGCTTCTCAATTAATATGTTTCTTTCTATCAATTACAAAGGTCATGGAGTCTTTCTCATTGATATATATATATATATATATATATATATATATATATATATTATCCCTTAGCTGAGCCATCTAACTCTTATGTGGGGGAAATTCCTCTATGCTTAGTAACTTGGCCTAGGAAACCAAAACTGGTCTCATCATACTTTTCCTTGGGTAGTAATGTTCATACTCAAATTATTCTAAAATCAGCACGTTCAAAAAATATATGGGTATTTCTCATTTGACCGTGAAGTGCATCTCAATGATGCATCGTGTGCCTTTGGGGAATTTCATTTCCCAAATTTCGTTTGGATGGTTTTCTTTGGTTACTTTCAGTGTGTTTTTGGCTTGTAATAAATCCTGTTGCTCGATGAGGAAAAACACTGAATTTTCTGGATATTGGAGGGGCGCTTTTGTGTGCAATTATTCTTGGTATTTTATGGACTGTTTGGCTTGAATTTGTTTTGATGGATTAGGAGTCCTTAGAGGAGGTGAGGTCTATGGTTAGGTTCAACACCACGGGGTCCATAACCAAGTAGTTCTGTAACATCCTATCTCATAACCAAGTAGATCTGCTTTGTCTCTTCATGCTGTGGCTTTGTTATTTTTTGTTCTACCCATTTATATTCTTTTCTTCGTTTTAAATGAAAGCCTTGCCTCTCATTGAAGAAAGTACATCTCGTTATGCTGACAAATTGATATTTTGTATGATGATACTGATGAAGTTCCTTTAATTTTTATCTCATTCTTGTTCTGTTTTCTTCATTTTTGAGACCTCCAATTTGGGGCTGTACTTCATGTGTGTTCTATTCCATGTCCTGGTTAAGGTATCTATTGAACTTCAACATTTCCTCAGTAATTCAATTTTCCCGTGAAACTTAGCAAAGGATCTCACTATCATAACATTTACATGTTAGAACGATGCCTTTATAGTGCCTCATATGGTGCTCTTCTACTGATAAGGGGGAATTCTCTGAATGTTAACACGAACGTGGAGATCATGCAGGTTTTTTGTGGTCAGTGGAAAGAAAGCAAGAAAGTGTTTTCATTAAGAGGAGACTCAAATTGGCTTGGGTTTAGTAAGGTATTAAATGTCTCTTTATGTTGCATCAATTTTGTTCTGTTTGAGCCAATAAAAAATCCTTTGCTAAATTTGGAGTTATTTTTGTGGTCAGTGGAGATCACCCTCAGTTACTAGCTTCCGAAATTGGATAATAAAAATATATTTGCTACAGTCATAATTGAAAGTCTTGAATAATTCCCCATTTCATGGAAGGTGTTTGGGGAAAGCAAAGCATATTAATAAATAATCAGCATTATTTCAAACTTAAGATTTTTCTACCTTACAAAAGGCTAATGTGATGTCAAATCATCATTCATTTCTCAAGATTATATCAGTCCATTATTGTTTCTTCGAGAAACTTGTATTGACCTTATAATCAATATAAAGGCAATTGCTCATGCTGTTTGGGGAAAATGATTATGACATATCAGTTCTATGTCAAATTTCAGAGCTGCAGGAGGGATGTCTTAGGCGGATGGTGTGATTCAGGTAGCATCTTCTTAACAGATGTTGCCAATGGGTTCGTCAATGGCCTTTCCTGAGTCCATCTTCTGCTGTCTTCTCTTAACGGTACTCTTCCTCCTGATATCAATAATTTTAAATTAGTACTGAAGCAGCTAGTTAGGTTTTAGTCAAACAATCCTTCGATTTATTTCCCATCAGTAATGCTTATTATTCAATGCACTGTCTACTAGTACCGATCCAGCAGTTTGCTTTATACATTGTTAGGTGATTCTAGTACCCTTGCACATGAGGTAAACCCTTACTCCACATATTATTTAAGCAACCTCATAATAATTATTGTTACTGTAGAAACACAAATATTTAATTAGTGGTGTGAAATATTACAAAAAGAGGAGGAAAGCTAGATTCCCTAGCCATAGGATACAAAAAATTCTTCCAATACAACAACTAGGTGGGGATTTCGACTCTCTTATCACGGTCGTTTCGTTTATTTCAATTTCGATGGCTGTGGTGAAGCAAATCTGAATGAAATGGATTCTTGAGGTCAATCAAACCAGTCTTAGCAACAAGGTTTCAATTTCGATGGCTGTGGTGAAGCAAATCTGAATGAAATGGATTCTTGAGGTCAATCAAACCAGTCTTAGCAACAAGGAACCGCTTGATTGGACTGGGTCATTTTGAGATAGATTTGGCAAATAAATCATTCACTTGGTTAGGATTAGGACAGACTTGAAAGCTATGGGTCATTTTGAGGCTTTCTAAACTTAATTATGAACATTTCAAAGTCAAAGGGTCAAGAAATGCTGGATCTGGGGTTTTGCTGTGCCCTCTAGTTGGGTTGCGTTTGTGGAGTTTTAATCCCTTTCTTTCATCACAGCAACCAGGAAAACCTGAAAAACGTAGGGCCCCTCTCCTCTGATATCATCCATCTGATCAAACAGCCCACCAACTGCCATCAACTTACACTATCTAATATGGCTGTCTTAGCTGTTCCTCCATCACATTTCTTCCCGTCACATCTCCTTCTTCCTGCCCTTTTCATTTTAGGTTTAAATTCTATTTTGATCCCATTTTTTTTTGTGTTTCTTCTTATTTGATCTGGTCTCTAAACTTTCAAGCATGTTATTCTTATTTATACTTTGCATAAAAAAAAAAAAAAAAAAACTATTAGGAAACGTAGTTTAATATGGAAGGAAATGGTTGTTGATTTGTTCAGAATTGTTCTGAAAGTCTAGAAGGGAGGAGGCCATGATTTTGTAATACCATCTCACACGTGTAGCCATAATTTAAAAATTAGGTGCGAAGTTTCAAAACCCTACAGATTAAAATATTACTGAACCTGTCTATTGTCTATATGAGGTAGGACAGTGATTGCTCCAAAAAAGTGCTTCAATTTTTCCTTCCCTTTCCCATTTTCTAAGTGAAATCCAACGAAATGGTCAACTCTTTCTGCCATCCCTTTTCTGGAATAATATTATCTTAGAATCCAAGTTACTTTCCCAAGGGAAGTTCCTCAATATTTTTAGTATTTAGGGTTCTTAATATTCTAGGATTGTGGGTTGATTGATATATTTTTAGGGAAATTCCAAATGAATGTATAGATATTAAACTTAAAAACAAAATATTCTTATTTCTCCTTGCCAATCTTAGTTTTGTAATGTTGGATATTGTAATAGCTCTAACTCACTGTTAGCAAATATTATCTGTTTTTTTTTTGTTACTTATAGTTGTCAGATTCACGATTTTAAAACATGTCTATTAGGATTAGGGAGAGGTTTTCACACTCTTATAAGGAGTGTTTTGTCTACTAGGACAATATCGACTAGTAGTGAGTTTGAGTTGTGGGTGAGTATGAGTTACACAATCTTTTATCTTAATTTCAAAATCTCTCTACCACTCCTCTCATGTGTCCCTAAATTTACTGTAGGGTAAAATACTAACTAAAGTTTCTAATAAATTCATTTGAAATCTATGTAAATACAAAAATTCAAATAAATTTTTCTAAGTAGAGAAAAATAGAAGATATATATATATATATATATCCCAGTAAATATGAAATAAAAACATGAAAGAAAAATTATAAATCATAGGTTTGCTTGATAAATAGGTAGATTCCAGATACCAATCTTCTTAAATGGGTTAATTATGGTCTTTATGATCAGAGTAAGAAACGTGAAGAAAAGAAAAAACCTGAAAGTGAAGTAAGGTGGGAAGCTATAAGAATGATGCAAGTGGGTTTTGTATTTTGACTGAGAGACCATTTCGTGCTTGTTAGGCCAATGACAAATCTCTATTCCAATTACAAGCACTTTGCATTTAGATCCCTCAATCTGCTACTTTTCACATCACCTCTTCTTTTTGGCCCCATTTATTTTTCAATTTATCGACCATCCTATCATATTCTTTTAGGGCCACAAATTGCCTCATACCAATAAAATATCAAGCTCCCACACCTTTCCTTTTCTTTCCAATTATTTTTCTCTCTATCTAACTTAAATAAATACTTAAATTCTTAACTAATATAATATATGATGTGTGACCATATGCTTATTTATTCCTTTTCTTTTTTTCCCGTCTCATTAAAATATTTAAAATATTTGGATTTTTTAGACCTTAAAATATATATATATATATATATATATATATATATATATATATATATATATATATATATATATATATATATATTGTGAGTTCTCATCCATGCCTATTTTTTCAGTATAAATGAAATTGTGTGTGTTATATATATATATAACACACACAATTTCATTTATACTGAAAAAATAGGCATGGATGAGAACTCACAATATATATATATATACATATTATATATATATAACACACACAATTTCATTTATACTGAAAAAATAGGCATGGATGAGAACTCACAATATATATATATATACATATTATATATATATAACACACACAATTTCATTTATACTGAAAAAATAGGCATGGATGAGAACTCACAATATATATATATATACATATTATATATATATAACACACACAATTTCATTTATACTGAAAAAATAGGCATGGATGAGAACTCACAATATATATATATATACATATTATATATATATAACACACACAATTTCATTTATACTGAAAAAATAGGCATGGATGAGAACTCACAATATATATATATATACATATTATATATATATAACACACACAATTTCATTTATACTGAAAAAATAGGCATGGATGAGAACTCACAATATATATATATATACATATTATATATATATAACACACACAATTTCATTTATACTGAAAAAATAGGCATGGATGAGAACTCACAATATATATATATATACATATTATATATATATAACACACACAATTTCATTTATACTGAAAAAATAGGCATGGATGAGAACTCACAATATATATATATATACATATTATATATATATAACACACACAATTTCATTTATACTGAAAAAATAGGCATGGATGAGAACTCACAATATATATATATATACATATTATATATATATAACACACACAATTTCATTTATACTGAAAAAATAGGCATGGATGAGAACTCACAATATATATATATATACATATTATATATATATAACACACACAATTTCATTTATACTGAAAAAATAGGCATGGATGAGAACTCACAATATATATATATATACATATTATATATATATAACACACACAATTTCATTTATACTGAAAAAATAGGCATGGATGAGAACTCACAATATATATATATATACATATTATATATATATAACACACACAATTTCATTTATACTGAAAAAATAGGCATGGATGAGAACTCACAATATATATATATATACATATTATATATATATAACACACACAATTTCATTTATACTGAAAAAATAGGCATGGATGAGAACTCACAATATATATATATATACATATTATATATATATAACACACACAATTTCATTTATACTGAAAAAATAGGCATGGATGAGAACTCACAATATATATATATATACATATTATATATATATATATATATATATATATATATATATATATATATATATATATATATATATATATATATAGTTTTTGGGGGTTTGGTTCAAATTATTTTTATTGGATACCATATTTCATATTGAGGTTATACAATAAAAACAAAAGTCGAATTTGCATTCTTAAATTTGGAGGATTGTATTTGTTAACATTTTAAATTAATATTAATATTGGTATCCATTTAAATTTTAAACTTTTGAAATTAAATCAGTTTAGGCTCTTCTTTAATAAATAAAGAAAATTAGAAGGAATCAAGAATATGCTGAATCCCACTGTTTTAACTAATTATATGTTAGTTTCTATATTTGAATCATGTGAAGTTTATGCATTAACGTTTTTACATTGACTCGACTATGAAAATTAATTAGGGCTTTAATTAATAGAATTATTAGTGATGCAAACTTCCATATTTATGGGTCTAGAAGGATTTTTTTTAATATAAAAAAGTGAACTTTTTCTATTTTTGTAAATTATTATAATATTACACATATTCCTAAAAAATATATAAATCCAAAAAGTTTAAAGTAATAAAAGAGATGTTTATTGTTTTAAAAGAAAATGATGTAGTTTTAATAATAGTTAAATCGCTAGTGGACAAAAATTTAACTAAGACATTTCATTAATATTATATATGTATATATATATATATTGTGAGTTCTCATCCATGCCTATTTTTTCAGTATAAATGAAATTGTGTGTGTTATATATATATATAATATGTATATATATATATTCGACTTGGAGTGTTCTTAATTTTTATCCAATTTGGCCTGTAATTTGAAATTGATTATTTTTGTCATAGTTTTTTTTAATTCAATTTCAACGCAACACATTAAATAGAAAAAAATTGAAATTTTTTCATATGTTTGTATTATAAAAAAAGATTGATTGCTGATGGGATTTTGAAAATATCGACTTAAATTGCTTAAATTTAGAATTTTTATTTTGTATCATAAAAAAGAAAGATGCACCTCGTTGATCGGAACGATAACTTTTTTAAAAGTATTTCTTGACTATTGTATTTTTAGTATTATTATTGAAATTTTCTTGACTATTAATGTATTCTTCTTTTATTCAAATGTTACACCTAAATATAATTTTTAAATTTAAAATCTAAAAAAAAATTTACAAAATTTAAAAATCCATGTAAATAAATAAAATAAGTGCAGCGTTTTCCATACATTGGATACCCTTTCTCCATATTAAAATAAATATGACATTTATAATACATGTGCCCATAAGTGAAATCTCAAGCAAAGTGGCAATATTCAAGTATCTCAGAGATTATTCTGCAAAAAAAAAAAAAAAAAAAAAAAAAAAAAAAAAAAAAAAAAAAAAAAAAAAAAAAAAAAAAAAAAAAAAAAAAAAAAAAAAAAAAAAAAAAAAAAAAAAAAAAAAAAAAAAAAAAAAAAAAACATCTTAGCGATCATTTCTATATTAATAAAATTTTATAATGTAATAAAGACATTCCCCTTACCTGGTCAGAATCAATCATACATCTTATTTTTCTAATATTTATTAGTCCACCCCTTTAAATAAATCCAAATTTACCTTATTCCTTATTTTATAATAAAAATGGAAAAATTTCCAATTAATACAACAAAACCCAATGGTCAAATTGAAATTAAGTAATAATATAATATAGAATCAAAAATAAAAATTTAAAAGATGGGTTGAACGTCTTAAGTTTAATAAATGCATTTTCTTTACTTATAATAATATATATATATATATATAGGTGGAGTATTTTGAATCCGTCTTTAAGATCTTTAATTACTTTGTCTAAGTTTGATGGATTTCACATTCATATTTTAGATATTATAAGGATAGTAGCTTAAATTATATCATATTCATTAAAAATAAATAAATATTTTTTGGGTGAATTTAAAATATTTAATATTCTTTCAATTTTAAAATTAATTTTAAAGATTAAATCACCATTTCATGTTTTAATTTTATTTGAGATTAATATAAATAATTTTTAATTAAAAATATATGAAGGGTGATATTGTAAATTACAAAAAATATAGAGGGTATTTTTGCAAAAGAGAAAAAATGTACTAAGACACGCGGTCGTCTGTTTCTACTGCCGAATAGAGACACGCGGTCGTCAGTTCTCCCAATAAAAGGGGCGTCCCCTAGGTTTTGTTTATCTAACATTCTCTCATCGTCATCATCTATCATCGCCGTTTCTAAAAATTTTCAATTCAGTCGCCATTTTTCTCTCTCTTTCGATCCTTCTTTCCCTCTCAGCTCTGTTCTTCGATTTGAATGGTGGAATTTGGATCTGGCTTTCAAAATTTTGGCGTTGATTTAG